AGAGGAAGATGCAGAAAAGTTTAGACGATTGGTATGTACTACTACATGTAAATATATTCCTTTCTATTCTGTTCGAAGCTTCGGATGTTAGTAACACATCTATGGAAACAAAAACTTTATTATTGAAGTGATTTAAACCTATCTTGCATTTACCAAAATTTTTTAACCAACAAATTGGCCAAGAAGCTATCAAAATTTGCTATATTTGTACCATCATTATAATGTATTGATGGTCACATTTAGAACAACCAACTTTTAGAATAAAAATTTATATTAACAAAAAAAACACAGCCCATAACAGACTTATAAGACAACTTATGCCTGCAAGAAAAAATACGTATATGTATTCTTTAAATATTTAAAATAAAAACGAGTGGCATTATTATTTTTTTTAATTAATTACACTGCGCAATAGAACTACTATAATGAACCGGCATTAATTTTCCGTTTTGTGCAAGGCCGCTGGCCAGTTATTTATTTAATTAGTTTAATTGGGTGAGAGCAATTAACCGCGAGTCGAGTCGAACCATCCGTTTGTCCCACTTTGTCGAGAGCCGCGCACATCATCCCACCACGACTCCTGCCTAGTCAAGGGGGGATTGTATCAATAAAACCAACGATCCTGTACGAGAATCCTGAGCCAGGACAGGAGGATGCCCCCTGAACCGATCGAATCCGGCCGCGTTGGCGGCCCGGAATGACGGGGAAAGGGCCTACCTCTACGAGGCGTCCGGGCCTACAGCGATGAATTAGGCAAAGAGCGATAATCCCGCTCGACCCCGCTTCATCTGAAGTCATTTTTCCTGCCAAGGATATTGGCAGGAGAATCCTGAGTTCGTTGGCAGAACTCGAAGAACTCCAGCGCCAACCTGAGGACCACACCGAGGACCTGAACACCGACCAGAGACCGCCACCCGACCCAGGGAGTTCGCTGCCAGAAGTCGAAGAACTCCAACGCCAACCTGAGGACCACCCCGAGGACCTGAACACCGACCAGAGACCGCCACCCGACCCAAGGAGTTAGCCGCCAGAAGCAACCGTCCGGAATAAGTAAACAAATTGTATTTTCCTATTCTCACTTGTCCTGCTATGGCACAAGTCTGGCCGTTTTGAACTTTGGCAAGACAGTACGACCACGGCGTTGTCGGCGAAGGTTTGGCTGGGTCACCCACCGCCCTCGTTCGACGAACGTTGTTAGTCACATCGACCGAACTGCTGGTTTGGCTGGGTCACCCACCGCCAGTGGAAGACGTTGAGTGCAGGTCCGTACGGCAGCAGCGTTATCGGCGACGGTTTGGCTGGGTCACCCACCGCCCTCGTTCGACAAACGTTGTGAGCCCCTTTACTGACACTGCTGGTTTGGCTGGGCCACCCACCGCCAGTAGAAGACGTGAAGGTGTCGAAGTGTACAGCAGCAGCGTTGTCGGCGAAGGTTTGGCTGGGCCACCCACCGCCCAAGCTAGATAAACGCTGTAGGGCACAATAACCGAAACTGCTGGTTTGGCTGGGCCACCCACCGCCAGTAGAAGACGTTGTGTGTCGGCTGTGCAACGACGGATAGACCCCCGAAGTTTGGCTGGGCCACCCACCGCTTCCGGGAGAAGTCTGTCGGCCGCCCCGCATTTGAACTCGCACCTCGTCCAGACTTTGCCTCCTGTTTACCAACAACATCATTTTCCTGATTACCGTTTGCTTATTTGTGCCTGATATAAACCGCTTTGCTTGGCTTTTTCTCCTGGCTGGTCGCATTTCCGCTTAATTTCCGTCGCTTTGCTAGAAACTGCCGCCGATATTTATTTGTAGAATTAGAGTCACCCGTAATTATTTTTCTGTTTCAGAACCATTGGGAACAATTTATTTATTGCTCTAATTTATTAATCTTATTTTTCCCTTTCTAGCACCGACCGAAATTTAAAACCGAATATTATTCTGGCGTACCGTTTCGTAAAGTCTTAGATTGTTTATTAAATAAACCAAACGCCAAAGACTCCGTTTTCTACCGTACCGATTTTGTGTCCTGATATTTGACTAATTTGTATTTATTTACAGCTCCGAAAACCGTATCGGCATTTTTAAACCCGTCGCAAATAATTGCTCTAACCCATTTTATCTCTAACCCATTTTATTTCATTCTTACACCGCTTGTAAATTTATTGTATATTCCTGGTTTTAGTTAGTAATAATAATTGTAATTAGAATCTGTTTTACTTTTGTTTGTTTGTTTCAAATTCAATAGGCCTGATTAATAAATCTAGTAAATATAATTCCCGTTTGTATTCATTCTTAACGCCGACAAAGTTGATAAAATTCCGATCAGTAAAAAAGGGGTCCGCTTATCTTTTTGTGACCTACACTGATAAGACCGTTTATTTTGAAAGGAAAATAACACTACACTCAGAGAACTACTTTGCTTGAAATTAAGAGAAATATAACAGACCCCTGGAATTAAACTTTCTTCACTGCAGCTATCCCGAGTACTTACTCTAAACCGAGGGTAGGTTTCACGTGGAGTTTCCCCCACGTAACCGATTGGGAAACTGGCGCCCGAGACAAAACCCGCACAAAAAGATTTAACCCGGAGTACGTTCCTGTGACGTCACTCACCACCGCCGGCTGCCAACCACCGCTGCCGATAAACTAGTAGTCAAGGGTCGTCATAAAATTAGGCGTCCAAATAGGGACGTCAGTGACGTCACTGAATATAGCAAATTAGAATTTGAAATTACGAATTAAGATTCCGTTTAGAGTTGGTAGTATACCGGGGGCGGCCATAAGTAACGTAACTAACCGTCACCACCACCAGAACCGAAACCGCAGGAAAGTGCGTTACACTACTCTGACTAAAGCCTTGACCAATATTGAAATATGTACACCCACAATATACCACTCGTCAGCAGAACCACCAGATACACACTGGTTTCGAACTTATTAGTTCTCACTAATGCATCATGGGTGTGATGGTGTAACGTTGTTTGATGCACCAAAAATTACAAAACTGGCCAATAAATAATCATTTCGAATTTCTTTCGTTGGCATGAAACTTTTTACTTCGTAAAATTCGTTCCTCTGCTGGTAAACTTTAAATTTAAAGGTAAACTACTACATGTATGAACTTTTTAGTCTACTTTGCCAATTCAATTGCACTATTGCATCTTCACAAAAATACCCTTTATATACATTTTCATAACCATATCATTTAATCCAGAAAACGCAACTGAGAATTATGACTTACAATATTTTTTAATTTCAGGTCTCGAAAACAATACGTAACTTTCAATAAAAAATATAAATGTATCTATTAAGTACTGCTGTAGTATACTACTATAGTAAAGCCCTTGAAATAAATTTGCCTTTTTATTTATACCTTTCTCATACTCCTTGATATCCTAATCTATGCCGTAGAATACTATCCATTTTCAAAAAAATACTCAGATGGTATAAAAATTTCACTCACAAAACTTATTTGAAAACTCAACGAGAATAATCAAAATTCGATTCGAAAATTAAATTCAAACAATCAAATGGCCTGCTTTATACAAGGTATCACGAATTGCATAGGCCAATATTGACGCCTCAAAATAAGAGAAAAACACACATCGGAAAATACTTAGTTTTCTAGATAGGTATGAGGCATAAAATTAAAATTCCTGCAAATGAAATATGTTCAAAACGCTTAAAAATAAACAAATGCAAATCAGGTGACACTGGAGTGACTAAAAGATCGTATAAGTAATTACAATTGAAGCTTATAAGTATTTTTTCAAAGAAATTTTGAAAAAATTCTAATTGTTGCTAAAATGGATAATATAGAAAATTTTTATATAGGGATTAATAGTTGAGACTCCAAAGTGTAGGTATAAAAATTGGAAACTCAAAATAATCATTGGTTTTACCGTGAGAGAATTGATAAATAAGTTGAATTCTGTATTTTCTTAATTAACAATTCAATTGTGCGAAATCTACCAGGACGATTTCGATGAAAAAATTTCTGCAATACTACCATATCATGAAGTTCTCAGAACCATATTTTTTATATGGCTGGTGGAATACGTGGTTAAAATTAATGACATTATGACTGAAATACCCTGTATATATATATATATACAGGGTGATTCAGAACTTATCCAAAAAAAAATTCTGGATGTACAGGGGACCCTTACAAATACAATTTTGTAAAGAAAAAATCAAAAAGGGCAATTCGAAAATTATTTAAAAATACACTTCTGCACGGCACTGGAAACTGGTCCACTGTAAAACCTGACCTGGCGCAATGCGACTGTCACAGCGACAGTGATAAAAACGGGCAAAAACTTGAAAGAATTTCGCAAGGAAAAGAATAAATAGAATTTTATAGCACTTATTTTATATCAGCAAACTCAACTGATTTTGTTCAAATTCATTTGTGGTTTTAAATAATAAAATAATTTGACATACCTGATGTTACAACAACTGTTCAAAATTTTGTCCATCTACGTGTAAACACATTTGGGTCCGTCTTACTCAGTTTCTATGAACTAACACAAATGCTGTCTTGTTTCACCATAACACAAACGCTTCACCATAATAAAAATGTTTTCTTGCTTCACCATAAACTAAAACGATATCCATCAACTCCAAGTTGTTATACACGCAAGCCATTTTTGACACTAACTACTAAAAAACTATTGTAAACATCGGATTTCAGTGTTCTGAGTCGCTGAGGCCACGTGGCTCTCCATGCGTATTACGAATGACGCTAGAGACTACAGTTGTCCAGCTATGTAGTGGTTGAAAGCACTACAAGTTTAATAATTTTTTTTCTCGGAAACTATAAGGATTTTACAAACATTTTTTTACAATATTGACTCCATGCCTCATCCCGCATCTATTCCCAAATTTTTTTGGATATGTTGTGAATCACCCTGTATACTAAAATTTAATATCTCCGGGTCTGTCATGAAACAGATCTGGTAACCCAACTGCGCATAATAATGTCTTGATAACCTCTGCAGTAATCTTACGAACAGTGTGAGTTAGTATTGACTGTTTGATACGTAAACATGAAATTCTTCATACTGTTGCAGATGGTGTTAATACTTATTTTAATTGGGTGCGGTGTTAACATGACTGAATACAAAAATCGAAAGGATGGAAACTTTATTAAAGTTAAAGCCAAAGTTGTATGTGATCAAGATGAAATATTCATGGCCGGAAAATGCAGACCTGTAAATGTTTAATTACAAATGAACTAATAATGTTTCCTCACATGGTATGTACAACTGATGTTCAATAAATTTTTGCCCAGTAAGATAATATGTATCTGGTATGTATTTCGAAATACAGATCGCAATTATGTAATACAACAAAAATAAACCTAACCTAGTCTAATTGTAGCTAGTTCAAATATTATAATCTATACCAAACATATGAATTATAACGTTCTCGAACATTTTTTATAATACAATAATAAAATAAATAAATAATTAAAAAAATTAAATCACAGCCCAACTTTAAAAAAGCAGATACGATATTTATATTGTATTAATTAGTACAGCTTCCAGCACTTCCATTTTATACTTAGCGACACTAATCTTCTAAAATTCGGGGTATATGTAAGTAATATCAGTAAAATTAATAGGATTGCTGACTCGACGTCCCTGAAAGATTGTTTTGAATTATAGTGAAAACTGAATAAGTGCAATTACCGCTTAATGTTATTAGTAGGAAAAGAGATACTTTGTTGGGAAAACGAGCCATTTCCAGTTTCTTTTAACTTAAAATAAACTTGGCTTTCTTTTCATTTCTGATGTCAATTATTATCGTTTACTAACTTCACATAAAATAAAAAATTTTCAAGATGCATGCATTTTAAGGATAACAACAGGACCGTAAATTTCGTTTTGGAAGTTTCTTATAAGCATAAATTGTACATGCTTGAACTTACTGTTAACAAATTATTATTTTGCATTGTAAAAGTTATGTATTTGTTTTTTTTTTAGATCCCGGAAACAGGAGACACGAATAACATAGCCATAATAATAGCCGGACAATAAGTAGTTAAGAGATAGTAGTTAAGTGTAACAAGATTATTGTAATACAATTTTTTTCATAATTGTCTTATTTACATTACAAATTACCAAATAAAATACCTAAAGCTAATTTTTGGATATATTATTTTTTACCCGACATTGGAGTATCTAATACTTATATGGAAGTTATCATTTTGAATTTAAGAAATATATGTATTTATATACAGGCTGTCTACTATAAGAGCGCCACTCCTATGTATTTCGCTTAATAAACAAATTTGAGATCCATGGCCAACTTTATGAGAAAACATGAAAAAACCGGAAAAGTACTTAAAGTTTAGGGCCGCCTAACTTTTTTATTTCGTAAGTTTGTAATTTGCTGAGCCCTCTATGCGGACAAAAAAAATTGTCGTCGAAGAAGGCTGTGGTAATACATTAACTAACGAGAATTTGCGAAATCTAAAATTTGCGTTCACGCTTGGGAAAACGGTTATAATATTCATTGGGGTTCGGCTATAATTGTGGAAAAGGAAAATAATACCATTACAAGGAAATTAAAAGATACCGCGATTATTTTGTTAAATGGGTGTTAAATTATTCTATGGACTTGGATCCTTGATGGCTACAGATTCTAAAAGATGAAATAAGTAATAATAGAAAAACCTTAATTTGATATCTTTAGCTCTGGAGACAGACAACAGCAAACAAATTTAAACTGTCAAAGTAACTAAAACGAAAAGTCAGAAGTCGACAACAGATAGATTTGCGAAACATAAACAACTTTTTAAAGTAGGTAGGTACGTGATATAAAGTGATGTGCTTCTGTATTTTGTATTTATCTGCTTTTTTAAATGTGAGATTTTTTGGTTAGATAAAACTGTTTTCATAAAAATAACTCCGGACTGATTCTTTCCGTGCAAGGATTTATGTCATTAATTTTTTCCTATTTTATAAAAAAAATTTAATATTTATTTATTCAAAATTCAAAGAAATACAATTATTTAACGCCTCTAAACGCAGTGTAAAACAAACAAGCTTATCTTATATCTAATGCGGTTATAATATCTCGTAAATTAAACTTTAAATAAAAAAAATAAAATAAAACGATGTGCTTCGCTTTTTTCTTACCAAAATTAATTATAAAAGGTATGTGTCACCAGAAGGTAAACTCTGTGTTGCCATTTTGACACCCTGTTAAAAAAAAGGCGCGGGTATGGAAAAATGACATAACAATACTTTTTATAACACCCTATACATCATATTGCAAATATTAGTCAAGTTGATAATTTTCATGTTCTGTATTCATTATACATTTGTAAGCTATATGCACTTTATCTGTCTTGAGCACGATAATGCCTCGATAACCTCTAGAGTTGGTATATAGAAAATTACTGAGTTTCTGTTGACTAGTTCATACGAAAACATGAATATTTTCGCCGTCTTGAGATTGGTGTTAGTGATTATTCTAACGTTGTGCGATTTTAGTATGGCGCAAATCGATTCTAAGGATGGGTCAATTTTTAATAAAATAAAGAAAAACACTGTAAAGTGTCCAGAAGGCGAAATATTGCACAAAGGAAAATGCAAAGAAGTCATATACTAGGAGGTCTGTTGAATATCTATTTATTATTTATGACTTTACGGGTAGGGTAAACTTTTTATCTACTGATTATTATTTATTTAATAGTTCTACCAAAGCCACAGCAACAAAAAGTATTTATTTCAGTGGGATATACAACAGGTATCTTAAAAGGTAAGAACTTCATTGACCTAACTTTAAACGAGTCAGACCCTTAAAAGGATAAAAATTCATTGCGAGAAGAGAAAAAAATCTCTATCGTTATTTAAAGAATACATTTATTTAGTTTCTCTCTATTAGCGTATCGATTATATCATAACCTTCAATTAATTTATTATTCTTCAAGATTATAATATCCTCGAAGTAAATCATATTATAATCTCGAAATAACCAAAAATTTTTAAAATACATAAATCCTGAGGGAAGATCAATGTATTTATCAATTTATTGTAATTATGCACATGTGTAAATGTTAACACCACACCAAATTTGAATCAATTTGTTATAAGCATAATGTACCAAAGATTTCGTAAATAATATGATTTTAACAACCAACAGTGAAAACGGTGGGACTTAGAGTGTTGCTTTATAAGCCAATTCTGAATTATTTATTGAGTTCTATTTGTGGTTGCAGTTTGATTCACTTGAACTGAAACACCCTGTATATCAAATAAATTTATTCTAGAATCCAAGATGGCAGTCACATTGCGTGTATGTAATTATAAAATTAAAAAAGTTTTATAAGAAGAAAAAAGTTGGCACATGAATTTATACCCAGTTTACACTACATGAAATAAAATATTTCTGAGAGACTTATGCAGTACATTATGTATTTGTCAAATACATTGATTTTGTACTGTAACTTAATTTTCAAAAAATTTCTTATAATCTACCCAAAAATAAAATTAAAGCTAAATCTAACGCATCTTAATTTAGATATAAAATGCGCAAGGTTATATTTTACTGTAAATAGTTTTATGTATTTACAAAATATTTTAAAATGGGGTACATTCATTTATATTAATTTTTATTTATTTCAGGGATGATCATAAATATCAGGATATACTAGTAAACCAGCATATTTTTCCACTTATTTTCTTACATGTAAATAAATACATTCACAAGAAATTACTGGACAAATTTTTTTTCAGCACCAACCTTGGGGTAGTGACTTACATACATTTAGGTTGAAATTCCTATTTCATTGCAAAAAGGAATATAAAGTTTTTATTCATGGATGGAATGTGATAAAAAAATAGATGATTATTACAACTTTTTTCTTTCTAAACGCCTCAGCAAATCGAATTAAAATGTTCGGGAAAGTTTTAGGTTGCTAAAATTAAAAACAATCTGCTATTGACATTAACATGGAAAATTTTAAAGCCCAATATTGGCAACATATTCAATCTAAGCCTAACATTGGTAAAAGACAGGCGCAGACAGTCCAATGTATATGCAGTCAATACAATTCCTATAAAGGTCCAATATACAACCAGTAGATTAATGTCGGACCTATATTGGACTTATATTGTCAACCAGCACTATGTCAAAATCTGTCGTTTACAATATTTGGCCAATATGTGGAAAAAATATTTTTTCAATATAGTGTAATGTACTGCTGGGGATGTTTATATTATAAAGAAAATAGCATAGTATTCACTAACAGCGAAATTTTTCATGCAGCTCCAGTCTCTTTACATACAATATGAATTTTCTTTTTTTAAGATTGGCTTTACTATTTGTCTCTTTTTATAGAGATTCAACGATTTGGAAAAAATCGGAAAAATTTAAAAAAATCGGAAATTTAAGAAACACATGAAAATATACTTAATAATATATTATCATTCCAGGCATACCTGTATCTTGCTGGAATATGTCAATGAGTATGAAAATATCAAATTTTAACAAAATCCGAGATGCCTGTAATCCAAAATTAAATCGAGTAACGAATTAAATGGACCGTTTTTATGAATAATTTTCAGTCATTTGACGAGTTTTGCAAAACCTAAGCAAGTTAGAAGTATATCTCTTCACTGTACCAATTATATAAGCTTTCTCCGGGGTATTATACAGGGTGTCCCGTATAAAAACCGACACATGGCAGGTGCGTGTAGGGGTGTCCAAAATATTGCAATTTAACCAAACTTATCTATACACAAAGTTGCACCCCTGATGAGTTATTAGCCCCCAAAATGGTGCCCCAAGTATCGAAAAAAATTAATATCTCTGCAACACTTTACCGCAGAGAAACCAAATTTGGTACATGATTTAGGTTTATTGCTGGTCTTCTTTGACTATGATTTAAAGATAATTGAAGCGCTTCAAGGTGTTCACTGGGGATGACTCACCTTTAAAATTGTACCGAACTTTTTTTTCATTGAATTTAATTTAAAATTTTTTTACTCCTGTTAAATTTAAAAAAAACTATGGTTTTCAAGAAAAACCGTATTAACTGAAACAAGATTTTAACAGTGTTTATTAGAAAATAATCTAAAAGTCAGTAGTAGGCAATGAATTTATCTTTCAAACTTGTCAGTTAATAATAAAATAATTTTATTTCAACAATTGCCTCTGATTGTTGTTGAAAAAATATCAATTATTATTTTTGTTAGGTATTTATTTGTGTTTTTTACTTAATATAATATTAGCTTATTTAAAAACTACCTAGGTAGATACTTGTTTTCTTTTTGTGGAATTAGGAGAGAAGTGAAGTAAAATTTGTTTGGCCAATTGTCAAATTTAAAAGATAAAGCCTACTATAATCTGTTTAGAAATGAAAGAGAGTAATAAAAGCTCATTATGTATGCAAATCGTAAATAAATGTAGTACTGATGCTTATATTCAATATTTTTATATTATGTTTAATCTATATAGATGAGGTGTACTTTTAACAAAACTTTGTGCGATCGGACTGTACTAAATTGTAGCAGGTAGTTAAAATTTAATCCCCGACAATCCGTCTTTGTCTATGCCGCTTCAATTTCTCGGTCCATTTCTCTTATAAGTAAACAATATAAAAACAGCATTTCAAAACATGAGGCTACTTTAAGCATCATAACCGGGTTAAGAGGGTTTTTAGTAATTCAAATAAAATTATTCAATATTATTATCAAAATATTTATTTAAATTTAATGAATAGACTTTTATTCCACACAAAAATATATGTATTTTGAAAATTCAAATTATGGTGAGTAAATGTAGTGTTGTATAAATGTACAATAAAGAAAATAAAAAAGTAGGTATATTAAAATTCATCCTCTGAATATTCTGATGAATTATCTTCGTCTCCTAGATTGATAACGATAGGTTCCACAGTAACGTCAATTAAATTATCGAGTTCCCACATTTTCTCCTCTTCTTTTTGTACATGATGTATACATCTTTGCCAGTTATCTGCAGTTACTCGTTCCAAGGAATTTTTTAACAAAATTTTCACGTCACTTAATTTAAACGTCGTATTATTTCGCGCTACATCTCCTTTTACCTGCGCCCAGACTAATTCGATTGGGTTAAGTTCACAGTGATAAGGTGGTAACCGTAGTACCGTTATT